GTCAAGCGAGCGAGAGCAGTTGCTTGTGTGACGCCAAAGAGAAAATGATCTTTTTCTGACAGATAACCTTTTGATAGAGATGTAGTTATCGTACCGATAGTGTAGAAATGCCTTCAGGTCTTCCAATGTTATATGCCTGGGGGAAATGTTCCACTTGAGAGAGGCTGAGCCACTGGCGCAAGGGTGACAGTGAACGTGCTCTGATAGCAGACCCAGAATATCGCAAAACCGATTGGAACGTATGAGTCGCGCTTTCACCGCGCCAGTAACACTAGGAAATTATGGTTCGTGACAATGGTGCTGTAAGGGTCCCGTTTGTGTGCAGCCAATGAGTAAAAAGGTGACAAGCAAGTCTAGTGAGATTTTGTGCGACAATGACAGTGGGCCGACGGTCAGGAGTTAGACAGAGTATTTGACATGGAGAACGAATGAGCAGTTTTCGGTTTCGAATGCTTGTATGCGCATAATGGTATACCGAATAGATGCACAAGGAATTGAGGCAGAAATAAAATCAACAGAGCGATCAAACACTATTCACGGAGACCCTAGGAGGTGCCATCTGTCCAGGCGGATCGGTTCTGGTGACGTGATGCGGTTATTATGGATGCTTACAGACACTGCGCGTCGCAGGCTGATTTCACATTCGAGGATACTGACGATGTTCACTCTTCTTGGGGGTTGGCGCCCACAGGTGTTGTTCGCGCCATGTTTTGCGCTTCCACGGCACTATACTTGCGACTCTTGAAACTAGACAGATGTTTCGGAACTACCGATGCAGACATCGAGTCAAGCGAAACACCACAGCACCTGAGGAATTATTGAGTTCACAGGATACAGGTGGGTGAAACGTTCTTGAAATAGTAGCAACCCCGAGTCTGGCTCAGGGTTTTCAAGGCTTTTCGCATGAGGTACAACCCGTAGTCCCACTATTCGGACATTGATGAGGATGACAGCAAATGGACTGAATAAGAACTTTTCAGCAAGCACGTCTTTGAATGCTTCAGGACGATGGGATTTGTCACCTGGGTGTACTGATAGTTCTCGAAATGTCTTTCATGCCGGTCGGCCGGTATCTATTCTCTTCCTGAACTCAACCAGCTTTGACGAAGAACGCAGAGCAACTGCATGCGTACATGTGAAAGACATAAGTCTCCCGAAGTATTGATAGACAGGGGATGAAAGCGAAAGGTAGCCGCATACCAGCTCTCACTGCCACAATGCTCCGGTCCCTTTCCTCTTCTGCAGCTTCATGGCCCACATCGCTCCGGCACCTCAAATTGCGGTGGTGCCATGTGCTATCATTCACCCTACGCCAATGAAAAGATGTCGATCTAACACATTTGCACGACGCTTTCCATGGCACGAGCCTAGTACGAGAGGTGTTGCCGTGGACAAAAGATCCGAACGTATACCAGATCAGGGTTCAGGGTACCCCGCGGACACACTAGCCTAAAGCGGACGAACCTCGGCGCGCGCAGAACGAGGCTTTGTTAATCAAGAACGTGATAGCAAACCAGAACTACTTTGGTAAGTCGTATGGTAGATCAGGGCACGGCTACTGTCATAAGTGTCACACCTATATATTGTATCCGACACATCGTCATCGCTCGCGATTTCTGTCGCTATCTAATCTTGCAACCTCGCAACAGCGCTACTGGAGATCCAACCCAACATTCACACAACAAGATTGAGGTGATTATTGTTCAAATCAGGAAACATGGCGGCACCATCCAGCATTGATATCAAAAATTTGGACGGCAAATGGTCCATGGTAAGCGCTACTCGTTATACTTCCCATGACTCCGACTAGCAACAAGCTTCATGTGTGTAACAGCTCTTCCTCTAACAACCACTAGAACAAAAGCCTATCTGACCCTTTCGATCCCGTGCTCGCTCTCCAAGGCATCGGCTGGCTCACTCGCAAAGGCCTCGGCGCAGCAACTTTAACGCAACATCTCCGCCAAACACCCGCCACAGGTGAAGATGGCGCACCTACAACCGACATCACCATCGAGCAATTCGTGACCGGTGGTATCAAGGGCAATGTCGAGAAGCGCATTCTAGACTGGTCCATACGCGCGCACACAGATTGGCTGTTTGGTACTGTCCAAAGTAAGAATCGCTACTCTAGGCTCGCCAAGATCAAGGAAGAAAACAATGGTCAACCTGCCGATGCGGAATTCCTGGCGGAAGGGTGGTTAAAGGAAACTGAGGAGGGGGAAATAGTGGAAGGCTTTGCGGTTAATGAGAAGCAGGGGTGGACGGCGTGGCAGATTTGGGGGTTTGCAGATATTGGTGGGGAGAGGAAGTTAGCGAGGAGGTTTGTGGTTAGGAAGACGGGGACGGATGAGTTTACTAGGGTGAGACTGGTTTATGATTACTTGGAAGCGTTGTAGTGAAGGAGTATGTGCGAAAGGTCTGGGCATCTACCCTGCTGTAGTTTCTCTAACCTTGTGTGGTCCCTTGTAACTGAGACCATCAATATAATTGATGACGTGTCGAGTCCTTGAACATCCTCTCAAATGTGTCATTCCCGTGTTTACGCATCTAAACTGGCAGTCATATCCCTCGAGTCCGCTGGTAGTCGTACGGTCTACTCTTCCTATACTGCGTACTACTCTGCACAACATTGGGAGGCTACAGAACACTCTGACCAATCCCCCGTACAGCAAAGGTTATACACAGATACACCTGGCCTTCAATTTGCGTGACTCTCTGGATCAAGTGCCCGAAAATCCCAGTTGGGCTGCAAAATGGCGCATAGATGCAGTGCGTGACAGGCTTAAGTACTGCAGTATACCTAGGCTACAGGCGCCACAACCTCCACAACTCTTCCGGACCTGTTGTCCTGCATACTTTGACAGCAACCGATAACACAAACTTGAGCTACAATGTCTTCCCCAACCACGACTGATCTCTTCCTCGCTCTCATTGTCTTGACCTCCACAATCTTGGTCCTGATGTTGATCTACTTCTTCATTCGCTTCATAAGCCGAGACAAAATCAAAGACTGTCAGCATCAAGAACTTGATTCTGGCCTACTGGATCCCGAACCAGGCCGAGAATCGCGTCTCTTACATCGTCTTTCCCGACAGCAGATCCAGCAAGAACACTACGAAGACCTACACCGACGCTACTCATCAGCACCCTCTTCTCCTGCTATAGAGCTGCTCCCAGAGATTAAGACAGAGTCAGTTGATGATAGAGCGAGCGAATGGCTAGAGCGGGGCGCTATCGACAGCGGAGTCCGTATAGTGGATGACGGCTTGGGAGAGAGGCGACCGGAACTGCAACAAGCCATGATTCTTAAGCCAAAGAAACAGTTGAGGTGGGATTGGAAAGACGGGAAATTGGAAGGGAGTGATGGCTTGCCGAAGGTTATCGAGAAAGTGGACAAGGAAGGAGTAGTGTTGACAGAGCATAACCCGGAATGACCTGTTGTAATTAACAAATAGCTTTGATCTATAGGGTTGTCTCCCCCTAAGGGAATCGATAATCAATCATTTTCTATAGCTTCTGTGATATGTGAGCTTAAAGTTAAGAGATAAGGAAGGACCTTAAAACCGCAATATAAGTCTTTGAACGCCCGTACGTTATTGCGCCGCCAAGCCCAAATTGCTACTCCTATGTATCTGGAGATACTGTATGCATGCATGGCTGGATAGTATCTCCAAAAATACAGTCGTGACACAATTTCGGCGAGGAAAGCCAAGACACAAACGATCTAACCAAGCAAACTCATGTTTGCTCTGAGCTAGACTGTATGACCCATTGAAACACGTACACCCAGTCAACCAATAGTATCGTGGTGACATGTTCCCTGTAAGCAGTACCAGTATAACCGTTGTGTGCTGGACAGTTGTGGTTGGTAGGTTCGCTATGTCGCCCCTTTACCCGCACCGGAATTGTACAATAGGTACGTCGAGCTCCCGTGAGTTGATGGGGCCATGCTGCCTTCAACCGGTGTTCAAGCTCTACGCAATACTCCGCATTGCCACGCGACTTTTGAAACTCTGTAGCATGGACATCCCCCTGGAAAGTCATATTGATATCGACACGCGGCCCTGCCTCACAGTCGGTGTAGGCTCCTACAAGACGGCATCGGGTGACCCTTTCAACGCACCAGTTAGTGGTCTGTTTGTGTCAGTGATCGCTCCCAAGACAGGCAGTCAGACAGGCACGACAACGAGCAATGCGGATAGAATATTGCCTTCCTTCGCAGTAGCATCGTTCCAGACAACGTATTCATCAGCCTCTACTCCTTCAGTCCCATCTACGATCGCGGAAAAAGCTATACCAAAGGCTACTATCGCAGCCGGCGAGATTTTTGCGATTGTGCTCAGCAGTCTCATCGCCATTGTACTGCCGATTGTCCTCCTGGTACGATGCCTCAAACGATTAGGGCAAAGAAAAAGGGAAAGAGAAACAAAGAAAGACACCATGATCCTGAGAGACGTTATGAGAAGTCGTGACATAAGCGAAGATGCGTGGGAGGTCGGGTTGGGTCGGCTGGAGGAGGCTTCCAACAGGAAGTTGACCCACAAGGACACCGCAATGCAGTGGACGGATCACCTCGGTCAGCCGGAGTCGGATACAAGGACGATGCGGGAGCAGTGTAATATGGAACGCGGGGTCTTCAAGAGCTTGTTCGAGGAAGAGAATAGAGTTCGCGGAGTAGGAAGAGATAAAAAGCTACCGGCTGTTCCAAAGGATAAAGTGATAGCTGCATGAGCCTTGGTACCTAGGGAATTTGAGACAGTGTTTGTGCGAAGACCTAACTGAGAGGCAAACAATGACCGCATCTTAGACTGCCCTCACTTCCATCTATCTGGAGACAATGAGCTGGATGTCGAGGAATAAAATGTCGGCGGTAGGGTTAATAGGGCGCAGGAATATCTAGTAGAGGGTGAATTGAAGCACAAGTAATAATGGTATGGAGCTTGACTCGATGTCTAAACAAAAGCAAACGGGCGTTTGTAGTTTTGTGAATGAACTGAAGCTACGTTTGTCTTGAAACTCAACTACAGAATGCTGATCAGCGGAGACGCAGATGCAGGGGTGAGAGAGGTTGCGGTAGGAACGTGGTCGTGCGGCTACGCTAGGCTGAAACCGAATTAGCGTCGAAGCTCAGGCCGCCTGGATTGGACCAAATTTCATGACCGTCGTAAACAATAACTATTCGGTTTGGCTACTTGGTCTATTCTTCCTCTTGCTCAGTCCGCCAACACCTTCCGCAATCAATCAAGTCAGCTTGAGCCGACGCGCTCCTGGACACTTTGGCAACTACAAACCTGCAAAAGAACAAGTTGCTGCCCGCGCCCCACTCGCTTCAACCATCCGCGACCCCCCACTGCACGAGCACACGAGCTCCTCCCTCGCGTCAATCAACTGCCACCATGTCGGCCGAACTTGACATCGACTTTACGCGCCGAAACAAAAAGCCGCGCCCGCTTTCTGAACATGAGAAGGAGAAGCTGGACGAGTTTGTCGATGCGATCCACTACTCAGCCAGGTGCGTGGTTTACTGAAGAAGCGGTCAGTGCATAATCGACTAACATGGATCCAGGTACTCGGACGACGCATACGAATACCGCCATGTACAACTGCCTAAGCAGATGTGAA